CCCCGGGCAACGCCGGGCTCTACTGCTAGTATATATATATATATATATATATATATATATATATATATATATATATATATATATATATAGTTATATAAACTGTATATTAATAAATATACATTTTTACTCACCGTTAGCACGACTCGGTGTTTCATGAAACTCCGATTCGTGCTACCAACGAGGAAAAAATGTATATTTATTAATATACAGTTTATATATATATATATATATATATATATATATATATATATATAGGATTAATAGAAATATTAAATTTGTCACTTATCCGATTGATTTTATATTCACGACTCTAGATGAACCTTTTTTTTGTAATCATTCGGTCCATCTCATTTTTTCGTTATTCTTGAATTAAGTTGAAAAAAAAAATCTCTCCGCTTTTTGTTGGTGTTAAATTGATTGTTTCTTCTTTTTCTCTGTATATATATGTGTGTGTGTGTGTGCCCGCGTGTGTGTGTGTATGCCTGTATCTGTACATATGTGTACATGTGGTTGTCTTCCCCTTTTATTCATTTTCTTGTCTCCTTATAGTCTATCACTATTCCCTTTCGTCTTTATTCTCTGTCTTTTACGCTTCTGAGTGTCAAAGATAATGTATGGATATTATTTTCGATGTCGTGGACAACACTAATTTTCACGGATATTTTATGGATTTCTTCAGTTTGGGAAAATATAGGTGTATTCCGTTCTAAATTGATTTCCTGTTTAAATCGTCCATTTTTAATTTATCTATTGATTATTTTTTAATGCTTAAATGGCAAATTAATTTTTTGTTAATATATTTTCACTTACTCATTATTTCATTTCTCTTAATTAGTAGTTATTAGTTTGTTTTATACCTTGCTTAATCTTAAGTATTAGAGTATTCATTTAAAAGTTTTAGTTTATAACTGTGTATTACATTTATTTACTAAGCTGTCGTTCTTTATGTTAGACGATTTCCTCAAAGATGAAGAAGAGACTTTAGGCGACGGAGATGTTGTTCTACAGAAGGATGCTAAGGATATCAAGGACCGAGTGTATGAGCAACGATGAGGTCTTAGAGAGGATGCAAACGAGGAGGAAGCTTATACCTAACAGCTGTTGATTCTGGGGCACATAATGAGGAAGGAGGGCCTGGAGAATCTGATACTCACGGGTCGAATAGAAGGAAAGAGAGACAGGGGAAAACAATGCATGACATACCTAGCGGGCTTAAGCAAGTGTATGACAGAACGTGGTCTGGGGGAGGTGGCAGAGGGAAGAAACCTCTTGAGAACTGCAAGGGATAGAGGGGGGTGGAGAGCCATGATCGCCTACGCCCTGAAAGTACATGGCACATAAAAAGAAAGGTTGTATTTATTGGTGTTTGAACACACACACACACACACACACACACACACACACACACACACACACACATATATATATATATAAATATAAAAGTGAATATTGAAGTCAACACTCAGAGGCGACAGGCTGTTTCATGCTGGACGCAATCGTCAGGCGACCTGATTGCGTCCAGCATGAAACAGCCTGTCACCTTTGAGTGTTGACTTTAATGTTCACTTTTATTTTATATTTGTATTTACATACGCCCTATCTCTGATATTGAGCAATTTATCCCATAAATATACCACACCTTTAAAACTATATATATATATATATATATATATATATATATATATATATATATATATATATATATATGTATGTATGTATGTATGTATAAAGACACGCAAACACGCATATATACATATATATTGATATATTAATCAGGTGCCTGCAAAAATTACTAAAATAGAGAATACCATAATGAAAAAAATCTTGTTTTCTTTTTTATCAGCGGGTGAGCTAAAGATTAGTAGGTGTCGTTTTTTGCATTTTGGGGCGTTAAAAAACATATTGTTTTGGAAATTCTTACAAAAATCAACTAATTTTCAGATTTCAGTGAAACTTATTCACACATGACAGAAATTATTTTTGCAATTCATTTTTTTTTTTTTTTTTTTTAGAAAATTTTGATAAAATAACTTCCTTTACATCAATTACCACCAATTAATTTTATGAAATTTCACGGAATTGAAATCCCAGCTTCTTCATATTTATATTAGTTAAAAGCAGGACTCATTGGCCAATTTAAATCAACAATTTGTTTTTGTCAAACAGAAACACCATTTGAAATCTTTCAAAAAAATTTTTTTCTGAAACTTTATTTTAGGAATATAAATTGATTTAAAGTTTGATTAATTTGATTTGAAATAAATATTATTTACTTTAAGTTTAAAATATCGCAGAATAGCATATTTCACACGGTGTTTATTTAAAGTGTTGACAACTTGAATGCAAACAGAAGTTTATCTAATTTTATTATACGGTGGATATATCTGCAAAATTTACTTGAGCAATATAACGTGAGTCCTTTTTCATATAATTTTTAACTGCCCATTAATCTTAAAAATTTAAGAAAATATTCTAAGTTATCTAATGTTTTGTTGAATTTTGGGTGGTTTAAAGGCTTTAAATTTACTATAGTTGTCGCTCTTATTTTCTGATAATGTCGTGTATGGATGTCCGTATTTACAAAAATCGTTTATAGACACAAAAATTTTTTTCAAGATATTGGTGTTCGATGAATTGTACTAAACGTTTCCATTTATGATTAGTAAATATAGTTTTTACTTAATAACAATATCATCTAACGAGCACAAAGTAATGCAGAATTTTAAAAGATTTAAAACTTTATAAATTATTCTAAATAAAAATTTTAAAATAATGAAACAATGTTTGGAAAAATTATTTATTCATCGAAAAAAGAAGTTTTCTTAAGACAATTTTGTCCATAATATATATTATTCATAAATCCAATTAAAAGCATTTCTAATTAAATAATGTTTTAGTTTTATTACATTTTTTTATTTTACAATTCAGAGCATATTTTTGGCTATTGGGGTCCAGTTTTGCAAAAAGAAATTGATTATTTAAATGCTCCAAGGTGTTCCGATTTTAATTAATATAAAAATTAAAAGGTTGAAAATTTAATTTCTCGAAATTTCACAAAATTAAATAGATAGTAGGGGATGCTAACTGATGTAAAAATATATATATTTTCCAAGATTTTCTTGAAAAAAAAATTTCTAAAATAATTTCATTCATTTCTAAATAAGTCCTGAAAGTTTCGTTAAAAATCGACAATTATTTTTATTTTTGCAAGTATTTCCAAATCAAAGTTTTTTCACAAAAAAAAAAAAAAAAAAAAAAAAAAGACATTAAAATTTCCTATACTAATCGTTAGTCACTGGGCTGGCGCAAAAAAACACAAAAACAAAAAAGAAACAAAAACAAGATTTTTAATCAAAATTTCGAACGATCTAAAAAGGATGAAAAAATATAATTTAATAATAAAAAATCCTCTTGTCTTTTCTCTTTTCATAAAGATTTTGACGATAAAACTTTGTTTTTATTACCTTTAGGGTATTTTTTCTTCATGGTATGCTAATCTTTTTAGCAAATCATTGGTGGTATCTACATTAGTTCTTTAGTAATTGTATTGTTTATGTTTCGGATACTACTGGAGGGCACCTCTTCTTTAAGTTTTCCTCGCATATGAAGAAACTTGAGGCAACAGAAAATGTGGTTCGACCGAATAATTTTGACAATATCGAGGTCAGAGCGTCTTCTGAATTACGAAGTAAAATGGGAACAAAAAGTACAATTATTTTTAGAAGCAGAAAGTGACAACTGAAATTTCTAGGGCACATCATAAGGAAAAAGGGTTTGAAGAATTTGACACTCATAGGACTTCATGAAGATGAAGGACGGAGAAAAACAGCGCATTACGAACCTTACGAGTTTATATAAATGACTAGCAGAACAGAGTTTAGGGTGGATGAGGAAAAGACAAAATTCACTAAGAGCTGGAAAATGTGGAGAGCCATGATCGCCAACGTCCAGAATGCATACGGCACATAAAAGAAGTAGAACACAGTACAGCAGGTTGACGGTGGACAAGTTATACAATTCAGACGTGGTCGCTTCATATACAGGTGAAGGCAAAGTCTTTTATTATTCAAAAATAATTTTATAGAGAATGAAAAATCGAATACTGGAAATATATTCCCATTTAATTATGAACATTTGTACAACGTAAACAGCCTCCATTTTTTACTTTACACAGATGCATTCTTTTTCGATAGCATTCTCCATAACAGCGGTTAATAACTCTAGCTGAGGGCCTCGAATTTCTGCCCAGATGTTATCCTTTAGATGTACTGAGTTGTCTGTGGTTTTTGATGCATACACACCCCTTAAAGTAACCCTACATAAAATAATTGGTAGGTGTCAGATCAGGAGAACGGTTGTGGCCATAAAATTTCGGAATTCTACGATTTTGGTTCTTTGTTCATATAACTGAATTTTCCAATGAAACATCCCAGAAGTACTTAAAACAAACAAAATCTGACATTTTAAAATAACTAGGTGACTTTTGGGACACCCTTGTATTTACACGTTCAATAAGGTATTGGTTGGACAAACTTTACCGGAATTAATTATGGCTTGGGTCAGCCAGTTATGCATCATTCACTTAGGCGATCATGTATCGTTCGATACATGACCGGCGAGGCAGATTTTTCCTGCAGTTGGTTGCCATTTCTTTCTGCGGTAGACCAGTTGCCATCCAAGGCTATACAATCCAGTCTGTCCCATAGCTAGTGCGGGTGAAGAGGATTCATACCTTTCCCAAGTATTAGCACATAAGTGAATGCAATAGATTCGACTGGAATTCGAACTCGGCTCTCCTATTCCTCAGTCCGAGCCGCTATCCATTACTCCACCGTTGTGGATTTTTTTTTCAGGAATCTAACATTATTAAAATAGATAAACTATAATTCTATATTGCAGCGTATAAAACTTTGGTGGAGAAATCTCGAGGTCAGACAAAATTTGGGCCATGTCTGTCAACTTTAACCTCACTTCGTAAAATCACAAATGCTTTCATTGGCTTACGGCCAGATCACGTTGAAACACCTATTCTTGTCTGATCACCGAAGTTAAGCAACATAGTGCCTGGTTAGTACCAAAATGGGCAAACCCTTGGGCATACCAAGAGCTGTAAGCTTGCATGTGCGGGTGGTGTAATGGTTAATGGCTAGAAATTGAAAATTGGAAATCTGAGTTCCAATTCCAGTCGGGTTCGTTATATTCATTTACGTGCAAATACCTTTGGGAAATGTATGAAACCACCTCTTCTTCCCCAGCTACGGATTAAATAGTAGGACTTGTACCACTAAATCATTATTATCCCCTACTCAAATTCTTACAATCCAAACATATGTTATTGCTTTAAATAATCTTCACAAGGCTGATAAGTTGTTTAAAAATTAATCAACCAATCAAATCAGTCAATGCTATTAGTATTTATTAATCGGTTAGCTGCATAATACTGTGATATTAAGTGTAAATATGGGAGGTCTTACATGACATCAATTACAATGCAGTATGAACACGATTTCATTTTGCTTACAACTTTAAAAAGCCATAACGACAGAAAGTTATGTCGGGGAATAGCTTTTAGCATTAATGTGATTTCTTAGTATCTATTAGAAAAGGCATAAAATGTTTATACCTATTAAAGTTATTAGTATTTTTCACACCTTTGTTTAACTAATGTCGCAAAGTCACAAATCCAGTCGTACAAGGAAGTCAGTTAAAAACTAGGAAAAGAATGTGAGTGATGCCGTAATCAGAAAGCATAAAAAAGGCTAGGCACAAAAGCAAAACACCCCCACAACCACACATATATATATATAGAGAGAGAGATGGGTATGATAAAAAACATGTATACGCGCATATACTTACACGTACATATATGCTCAATGTTATATAACAAAACTACTAAGTATATATTAGTGAATATACATAATATCCCGTGTCGATAGCACGACTCGGAGTTTCATATAAAAATGCAATCTTCAGGTGCAAAGTACTATCGACGTGAGAAATTATGTATATTCACCAATATATATGGGGGAACTCTGTGACAAAGTGGAAAAAAGTTTTCATGTAACTAACACGTTTCGTCCTTTGGACTTCATAGGACTATATTTGTTTTGTTGCTACGAGGGATGCTGGGAATTTTAAATTCTTTATTTTTTTCTAATCTAGCAAATTTCATTTACCGTATATAATCGCATATCATGCGATTTTTGAAGACTCAATTTTGAAGATCATTTTAAAGGGGTCGCATCATACACGAAATATAAAATTAGCGTATGTACTGCTGGCTCTGGCTACGCCGTTAACCAAACTTATATATATACATTTACTGTAGTCAAAAAGTACAGCTGCATCTAAAATAAACATAATTTTGACAAAACTGATTTTTTACATAAATGTATCCAATAATAATGCATGTAATATTCACATATTTGTATCGTATTATAAAATACAAACAGTGACTATGCATCTTTTCCATTGTTTACGTTTATAAGATGTTTAGCTGTTACTCGTTCGGTTGTTTATGGCTGTACTCGTTGACGCAATGAGTATAGCGATATTAACAATACTTTTATCATTCTCTTTTACTTTTAACTAGAAGATGGGATAAAAGGATAGAGGAAAAGAGGTTAGTCTGTTGTAATTTGATCTCTCAAAAAAGGGAACTTACATGATACATGAGATACATGATAAAATCATTTTTTATAAGTGAAAATATTATCCGAAACAAAACTTATCATCAGAGATATCGAGGCATGTTCATCACACGCTATTTTATCTTTCATTTTTAAATGAGGAAACCTAAGAGACCATATGCTTCTCCAGCGAAACGCGCCTTTAATAAAATGTTTCACTTTGTCCCATCGTCTTCATCTATATAGATATGTATATATAGAATTAATTTGTCACTTCAGCATCCCGACTTTAGAGTTTCTTAGACTGAACTGTCCGTCCACTCTTCAGGGGATATTAGCAATTTACTGCTTATGTGTTTTCCTTTTATGCACATTTAACACTGGTGTAATTTTTCTTCTGTATTCTCTGTTTCTTTGTGTGATTGTTCGCGTGCTGTCATGCGCCCGTTCTGCGTTTGTGTGTTCGATCGCAAGCGCCCGACTGCACCACTGATGTGCATCGTGATCATTTTTTTTTTTTTTTTTTTTTTTACCTCTACACTTGCTCATTTAGCATTTCCCTATCTTTTTCATATGTTGCTGACAGCCTGAGTTTGTTCCAGCTCTAGATATGTAAGCTATTTTTATTTATTTTTATTCATGGCCATTTTAGTTTTTTTGCTTGTAAATTTGTATTTTGTTTATTTACATTTTTTATATAAATATTTGATATTAATGTCTATGCAATATATATATATATATATATATATATATATATATATATATATATAAATTTGCTAATTTAAAATTATGGTTCCATCGCTACGCAGCAATTACCATGTTTCAAAAATAAAGACTTCACATTCAGTTATAGAATTAAATTAAAGTCCCTAGTCCTGTTTCATTTTCAAGCGAATTTTGGGTTCCATATGTACACAGACGCGCATACACGGGTACATGTACACTTAAGTCTTTGCTCTGTTATTAAAAAACTAGCGCTTAAATGGTGAGGTTATTTAATTTTATAATTATTAATTTTTACACACACACACACACACACAAACACACACACACACACACACACACACATATATATATATATATATATATATATATATATATATATAGTACAACCCCCCGGACACTAACGCATGTTTCCGCACACGCACTGTACACATGCTCGTATACATAATTGTTAAATAGTGTACATGTAATTAAAATAAATGTATGCTTATATCATGTTATCATTTCTCTTTTAATGTTTCTTTTTTATTTTTATTTAACCGTTAGTAGTTTAATTGTTGTTTGTTTTGGTGTTATATATTGCGGTATAAATAATGGGGTGTTGGTTTGTTCATTGTTTTTCGTGTTTGTGCCTGTACATGTTCACTTTGTCATCGTTTATCGTCACCAAATACAAGAGACACTCATACTAGATTTTTTCTGAATGGTGTGTGTAATATGAACATAAATAGAGGAAGTAGGGAGTGAAGAATATGAGGATATGGTGGATGGATAACGATTAACACTAGAATTGAAGAACTCTAAATTGTAGTGTTCGCCGGAGGATACTGAAAATACCATAGACAGAAACGAGGAAGATTTAAAGAAAATTGAAACGAAAATGACACATCAGGAGGAGACAGTTGAAAGTTTTAGTGCATATCATGAGAAAAGAGGGCTTGAAAAATTTGATACTCACAAGACAGATTGAAGACAAGAAGGACAGAAGAAAACAATGCATAACTTAACCCAGAGAGATTGAATAAATGGGTGGCGGAGCAAGGTTTAGGTGAGCTAAGAAAAAGACAAAATTTATTAAGAGTTACAAAGGACAGGAAGTCGTGGAGAACCAAGATCGACTACATCCTGAGATGACTCGGCACATAGAAGAAGAAATAATGGTTTAAAACAAGGAGCTTCATGGGGAGTACAAACCTGAAAAAAAATCTGAAAATATGCTCTGTGATGATGAAACAATGCAAGTTTGGTATTAGTGGCATTCAACGTGACAAACGATTTCTTTCCAGTTTCACACTAAACCATGAATTTGCATATATATAGTGGCTTAAGTATTGTACTGAAAGTTTTATTATCAAGGTAGGTCATATAATCACTTGAGAATAAAGGTCCAAGCTAAGATCCCATTGTTACGCCCACAGTTTTTGTATATATAGTTTCAAAACTGTCATAAAAGAGTACGTGGGTGGTATATGCTTGACATAGTTTTTCTCGAGTGTGATGTTCTATTTTTAGAGTGGGAATAGAGGTATAATTATATAGCACTATATGTGTAATAATTTTCAATAATATTACTGTCAGATATTTTGTACATATTTATATACTTCCAGAGTAAAGTTATGTTTTGTAGATATATATTTTGTAGATCATAAAAGTATTGTTGATGATTTTACTATAAAAATGTATTTTTAAATATTTTTTAGTGTTACATTGTCATTTTGCTATAAAAATGTATTGTTGGTCATTTTATTATAAAAATGTACTGTTTATTTTGGGGTTCACTATTTGACATAACTGGGCTCGAACCTTGGAACAACAGCAATTAAGCGGTGGTTTCACGTTCCTCAAAACCTCCAAATCAGAGGCCATGTTGCCGGATTTAGTTCTTGTCTGAATAAATTCGTCAGTATTACTTATACTATATTCATTAGGTAAATATGATATTATTGATCGGGTTATCGATTATTGATTATTGATAAACAGAAATAGGCTCTTATGATGCAGAGGGGAACTGATTTTGTATATTTTGGCGCCATTAAAAAGCCAATCGCATTCGTAATCGTCAATTATTTACTGGACTTTAATAGAATCATTATCCACCTAATTATGAACTCGGATTTTAAGCGGGTCTTCTATTATAATTTAGTATGTGTGTTCGTTTTTTGGAATTGTTTGTATCTTCAAAGTAATAAACATTGTGGGGTAGTGGAATGTGAAGTTAATTTATATATTATACCAATTCAGTCCACATCGTTTCACTGACGGTTGGTTGATTGGTAGGTTGCTTTTGTTTACCAGCATATCAATCTTTATGGGTTATTTAATGCTGACATCTAAATATTTTGAACACAATTTTATCGTTCCAACTAAATATATTTTAAACTTCAACTACAGATAAAATGTATTGCTGGTTGTTTTGCTTTAAAAATGTATTGTTGGTAATTTTACGATATAAAAATGTATTTTTATAATTTCATAGTATTTTGTCTTTGTTTGGGGGTTCACTATTTGTCCCTGCTGGGATCCTAACATATGCTACCACCCCAGGTCACGGGGAACCTGGGAACAAGTCACTAACGAAAAATAAATACGTAAATACCTTCTTTTCTTCCATGTCTCGTGCTCTTCAGGGTGTAGGCGATCATGGGTCTCCACAATTTCCTGTCCTTTGTAGCTCTAAATCTTTTTGTCTTTTTGTTAGCTCTAATAAACCTAGTTCCGCCATCTATTTATTTAAGCTCACTAAGTATGTTATGTATTTTCTT